CCATGCACTCCCACCTCATCTCTATGCAAACGCTCTCATCTTCACCCTCCCACCTCTATCTCCTTCCCCAGAGCCCCGCCCCCACCTTCCCCATCTCCACCCAACCCCCATGGTCACATCACTGTCCAAAAAATGTTTCCAGGTGTTGTAATGACCGGAGCAGGAATGGCTGGACTAACTTACTTCGCGAACAACGAAGATGATCCGTATATTACACTAAAAGATCCAGTAAGTTGGTACCATAATATATCTCGGCATTACCCAATGCCTTATTGGCGATTCATAGCATTTGCTTGTGGCATTCAATGGACCAATCCCCAATTAACCAAAATTTTGATCTCAACAAGTCTGGACAAAATTCCATCACAGCATGAAAGAGCATCACAAAATTAGTAATATTCCAAAGTTTCGTTGTGAAATGTTGTAAAATGCGGATAATATAGCCTTGCGAAGTTTGTAATTTTCACTCATTTTCTATTACGCACGGAAGTGGTAACCATTTCCCGTTTGTAATACAAAATGACTGAAAATTGCAAATTTTGCAAGGCTATATATTATATATTATCCGCATTTTACAACATTTCGCAACGAAACTTTGGAATATTACTAATTTTGAGATGCTCTTTCAAGCTGTGATGAAAATTTTGTCTAGCTAGACTTCAAAATTGAGTTCAAAATTTTGATTAATATGGGATTGGTCCATAGCTGCAGAAGTTCAGTACAAATAAAGTTAAGTTTGGTTATGTACAGTAGATCTATAGATTACGCGATTTTTGGCATCTCACTTCATAGAATTTAAGGGTTTTTTTAAATGGCTTTATCGAATGGAAATTTACAGTCTAAAATGTCATCTACAAAAAGCCTTCGCTATCTAACCGACTACCTAGAACTATATAATTTGAGTGTTTCCATCCAATATAGGACGAAGACGAAAAAGAAGACCTCCACATCAAACCAACCGATAATTTAATCGTAGTTGGAAAAATCGACGAAGAACTGAGCAACTTAGAAATTTATGGTAAGATGTAAGAGAAAACAGATGGCAAGTCTGAATGCCCGTTTTGTTTCCATACTTTCTGAAAAATACTAAAAGCACTATGTAGAGGCATTTGGTAGTTGCCGCTACTTACTTACCATCGAAGGGTTTTTGCTCAATATTCTTTTTCACGTAGTTCAGACACAAACCATCATGACGGCTAACGTTAATTTTTCTGTCATGCTTAGTATACAATGAAGAAGACAATGATTTGTATGTTCATCATGATATTTTACTGGATACATTTCCCTTGGCCTTGGAGTGGCTCAACTTTGATCCTGAAAATGACGACAAACAAGGTTCATAACTAGACTGTGTACTGGATAACTCTATAAGTTCTAAACTGTTCTCCCCAGAGGTCCAGTAAGGATCATCTCTTATTGACCCAGTGTTACTACAGGAGGAAACCTAAACTAAACTAACTTTATTTATACTGGATAGCTCTATCAGTTCTAAACTGTTCTCCCCAGAGGTCCAGTAAG